ATGCAGCGAAAGCCTGTTTCCTTATAAATGAATTCAGGCTATGACTCGCAACCGTGCCAACCACGGGTGATGGGGGAAACGGCATTGCTTGCGTGGGATGAACCATCAGTGACCCAAGGCTGTCGTAAACACAGTTTTATTGAGTACTTAAAGATAACTGCCTACTCAAGGTCGGTGTAGTACGCACATAAAATATTATCGACAAAAAAATTGTGCAGATCTCGTTCACTAGCGATACTCTATTTGGGTAATAAATATTTTCCGCTAAATTTTCTCTGTCCAAGTAAGCTCTCCAATTGTTTCTAGAAAATACTGACAAAACGTTCGGCAGGACTCTCTTTAGAAGTTACTTTTGCCTTTGACTTATACCGATAACCTACTTTTACATTTTCAGTAACCCGACTTTTCATTTTCGATTAATTCAGCCAATATTAGGTTGAATTTCCCTCAACTGGCATCAGTATTCTGGGCAACCGGAGTTTCTGTTGATGTAGTTGATACAATTTAGCACATTGGAACAAAGATAAGTTTACCAATAAAAGTGAATATGCGAATTCCAGGAAGCAGTTCAGAAGAAGAAGATACAATCACTGGAACAAGAGTTTTATTTTCCTGACGTTTCGGAATCTGTCGAGAATCCTTAAGCATAGGTTTCTTTAATTTGATATTTTTATCACTTCCACCACAATTAAATATTCATTTACACTCACTAAGTAAGAATTAAATGTTTGACCACAAAATATGTTAGACAGTTGGGCGGGGAAATAGATATCTAGGGAGCGCTACAAGACAGTTTTGTCAAATGTTCAATTAGAAAACTGTTTCGTCCCTACCAACTACCAGTAACAACCGGAAAGCATCTTGCTAGGCAAACCGATGGCTCAGCTCAAGAGTACAAATGAAAAGAACAGAAGGTTAAGTTTTTTAGAGAGAAGGAGGATATAAAACCGGACTCACCATTCCACGTCTCCACATACACACGGTAACGAATGATGTAAATTATCTCGCCAAGAAGCATTATCCCAAAAGATATGGAGAGGAATCCGGCAGAAGCACTGAAACATTATACCATAACTCGAAAATAGTGATAAAATGATGTCATTGATGACTAAAGAGACAGACCCTCCCAAGACGAATGGCGCACAAGAATAATTGGTAGTATTACGTCATTTATGTCTTTGTAGGAAAAGTGGTTAGTTCTAGGCGGTACAGAGGGGAGACGAAAAGAAATTATGGTAATAAGAATATCGTTATTGAGTCGAAATGTGTCACGTAATGGTACTGATTATTATAACTTAGGGTAGAGCAGGGAAGATAAGAAGAGCCAATAAACGGTAACTATGGGGAAGAGGAGGAGGAAGAATGCTAAGAGGTGTCGGAGGTGAATACAGTCTTTTTCTGTCAGGAGAGAGCAGCGAGAGGAAGAGAAGTCTGACAGTGAACTATACGCCCGTTTCGTTTATTCATTCGGAGAACGAAAATGTTGGGTTGATCTGGGGCTAGGGAACTTGAAGGCCAGTACAAACCCCTTAGGACATCTTCGCTTGTGATGGTCGAACTAACATAAACCCCTTACGCGAGCAAAAGCTGAGTTAGTTAACCCCATGGGGGCTGCCTCTGTTGCCAGGAGTACTCGCTGCCGCAGGTACGTAGGGTGTCTCATCGACAAACTCGGAATGCTTTGTATCCGTCAAGCTGGTGGACGCTGCCAACCAAGTGAGTCCGAACTGTTGTGCTAGAGATGGACGTTTTGGAGATATTTCAGACACCTCAGGATACTAGCTTTTGGATGCACTTCTCTAGACCCTCTGCATGCAGTAAGAAGTGACCGTTTAATTAACATAAATTTTTCTATAGCATTTTCAAATCGCCACCGAGAACATACACAAAAATATTCTTTCTTGTACTCATTTGGCAACAACTCAGGTCT